CTTCTCTCTCTCTCTCTCCCCCCCTTTCATCGCCCCTCCCGCCGGCGATCTCGCTTCCTCCGCCAGATAGCAATCAGTCTTGCCGGACTTTCATCAGATCGGGCCGCTGCGCGAGATGTGTTCCGATGTACCCAGCGCCGCGGTACTTCCGCGCGTGTTACTCCGCCAGCACGCGCGCGCACCTTCGCCTGTGTGGGTCGCGTAGGTGCAGCCGCGTCGATGCGTCGACCGCCGTCGTGCTGCAGCCGACGATTAATGAGCCCTCGTCAGTCGCGCGCACGCGTCTGTCACTCTGACAGCATCCGGTACGGCAGCTCGAGTCTCTCGTCTCTCCCGGGCCTCCTCTGCTCGCTCACCTACTTCTCTCTCTCTCTCTCTCTCTCTCTCTCTCTCTCTCTCTCTCTCTCTCTCTCTCTCTCGTTTAATCGTCTATTACGGATTCTTCCCTCAGATCGCGAGCGCGTGCACACGCGCCGCTTTCGCCGCGAGCGCGCGCGCGCGCGCGTATTAACCGGCTAATTGATTCGCGCGGCGGATGCCGCTCGTAATAGCGCGCACGATCTAACGGATCGACTCTGACTTGGAACTGCGGCTGATTGTCCCGGCGGATTCGCGGGAATTCGCAGAAGCGAGGCGGGTCCTCCGATAACCGGCGCATCGCGTGCGCGCGAAGCCTTTCCTCGTCTTCGCGCGGGATGGAACGTGAAGATCAATACACGGGCGTATGATTGAGGCGCGGTGTTTCTCTCTCGGTGAGTAACACGCGAGAGTTGTCGGTCCCTCCCCCCTCACCCCGGGCCGGCGAGCGAATCGCTCGGGAATCCGCGTCCGTTTGCAAAAGTGGAAAGCGGGTGCTACGAGCGTGTACGAATGTATACGTATTCGCACTTTCCATTCCGTCGAGCGGGCGATGAGCAAAAAGCAGGCAATTTTGATCAGAGAGTCCTAGAGTGTTTCTCTTAATGCGCCTTTCGAAGCAGCGAGCAGCGCTCACGCGATTTCGCGCTGGTCGCGTGTAACGGAGCGCGCGCACGCGTAGCTTCGCGAAAAATCGCCGATAAAGCGGGGATTATCGTGCCGCGCGACGCGGCGAGGCCGGCCGATAGAGCCGCCTCTCCTAGTCGTCCTCGCGGTCCTCCGCGGAGCAACGGACCGCCGGTATCGGGAGCGATGAAATTTAACGTATCAGCGTTCGCACTTAGCGGCTTAATGCGAATTCCGCGGCGATAGCCGCTGATTTACGCGCCGGTTCTCGCTGAAAATGCCCGCGTTGGGATTTCCGCGTGCGATGCTGAGAGAAAGAGAGGCCGAGAGCTGGTTTGCTTATAGGCGGCACGTGTGTACTACGTGCTACGCGCGCTACTCACGGTAAATCACGCAGTGAAAGCCGCTGGGAGTTTCGGCGCTAGATACGTCCGGCGAGCGCGCGCCGCGTTTACCGCTAATGAGACACCTGCTTGACGGACAAGCGGACCGCCGGTTTCTTATCGCGCGCATCATAAACGTCCGCGCTCTGTCTCGCCCGTGGACAGAGTCTCTCGGTCTCCCCGCCGTTGTCGTCTGCTCTCTGATTGCGACCTGAAACCGCGCGCGCGAGCGCGCGCGAGCGCAGCGGACACAATGCGACGCGCCGGACGATGAAATTTCGCGATATCACGCTTTCCCCTCCCACCGCTGGCTGGTCGCGATTTTTCCTCGCTCCTCGTCGCCGTTTCTATCCTGACCGGCGACTACGCGATTATTCTGCGGCTCAGTCCGCCGCGAGAGATCTCCGGATTTTCCTGCGGCGCGCGCGGCGTGAAATCGCGATTGTGCACTGATGGAAAAATATCGTTGAATTAACTATAATCTCACTGTATTTTGTAGTTCATTTCGGCGTCAACCGTATTTTTACAGTTCGTGGGAACCTGCAACGCATAGTAGAGTAAACACAAATATATAGTCAATGATTGTCTGAAATAATTTAGTTTAGTTACTTTTACCACATATATAATATATGGTAATTTCTCATTCACAAATATAGTGAGATTTAATATTCATATAGTCACATCTGTCATCATTTAGCAAATATTCTGGTGATATATAAGAGAGTTACTTTTACCAACTATTTTGTATTTGTATCCACGCAGTAATTTTAGTTCAACTTACTATAATTCTTAGTAAAAATATATGATTGGTTGTGCTATGCCTGTATCGTAATTATTACCGATATTACGGTAACACTTACTGTAAATATGATATTTCGGACTATTTCTTTACTATATCATTTAGTTACTTTATTTTAGTCACTATGTCATTACAGTTCCAAATATCATATACTTTTCTCTCAGTGTGTTTCTTAGTCGTCGCGAGCAAGTTCGTTCTGCGCTGCCGGAGCGATCCTCGCTCCGTCGTGGCCTGTGTTGCGTTTCTTTCTTCGGCAACTTCGAGCCCCGGCTATCATAATACTCACCCACTCGTTCGCTCGTTCTCCTCGTAACTGGATACGCCTGGTATCTGGGCCAGTTCCTGTTGCCCCGCGTTCTTACCGCGTCGCTGCTCGATGAACACGCAACGAAACCGCCGCCGGCACGTGGCACGCGACACATGCTACGTACGTGTCCGCCTTAATGAAGCCGGCGGGATTGATGCCAGGTGTGCAAGTTTCTACGACTGGAGGCTCTCAAAGTGTCTCTCTCCTGCGGCCGACGAGGGGCCTCCGCCGAGGGATCAAAGCGCTCGTGTCGATACCTCAGCGACCGGCCGAGGTCGGCTGTAACCTCGCGGCTCTACGCGATAGCAAGAGCCGTCGCTCGGGAGAAAAGTCCGCTCGGTCGCCGACGAAGATGGGGGATGAAGGTGACATTTCAGTCGCGCGCAGTCTTCCGCTGCGATATTTGCGCGCGCAGCAGGAGGACGATCTACGCGCGGATGCGGAAGCACACAGAAGATGAGGAATTCACGGCTACGCGGGGATATCGTGTATTAATAATGCAACTGACAAAGTCATATAATAACAATCGTATAAAAAATGGCGCGACGATAACGACGGCGCCGATGAAGACGTTTCCGAGCTTCGGCCGACTGCCCGCTCGGCGCCGCTGTATCTCTGCTCCGCGAGTTAATTAGCAACGCAACGACGAGCCGACGAATCGTCGTCGTCGTCTAGCACAGTCTCTCTCTCTCTCTCTCTCTCTCTCTCTCGGCCGACCGGCTCCATTTGGCGAAGTTTCATTTCCCCGCGGAATGCAGTCGCTCGCGCGCGCCTCGCGATAATGAAAATCGCGGACGATCGGACAAGTCCGTTCCATTTGCCACGCGCTTTTAATTACAGGCACGAGGTATGCCGGTGCGTGCGTATCCGTTTGCCGCCCTTTATTTGCGCTATCCTACCGTCTAATTGCCTACACGAGGAGCCGTGCGCGCGCGCGCAGCGGAGCCGACGTACGTGGGCGTTATTGCAAGGTGCTCTCTCACGGGAGAGAGAGAGAGAGAGAGGGAGAGAGAGAGAGAGAGAGAGAGAGAGAGAGGGAGAGAGAGAGAGTCTCGCATCTTCGGCGGTCTCGCTTCATCCTTCGGAGAGATGAGGAGATACGCGTGCCGTGTTGGTCTGTGCGTGTGAGGCCGGATATTAAATTAAACGATACGAACGGCGCGTCGGAATGACCTGGCAGCGCGCAGCATCGCGCGGCATTGCCGCCGACGATCGGCCGCGCCTGTCGTTTGCCCGCTTCGCGAGGCAATTATTCCGCGATCGTGCGATTTGTAATTTCGAGCAGATCGCTGCTCTCACACGGTGTCGATCCGCGATCGTTCGTTCGCGCGGAGGAAGAGACGACGACGATTGTTGCTTCGTCCGTTCGAAGGGGAACAATTGTTCTCGCCAGCTGCACAGCTGCGACTCCGCTTGATCACGCGGCCGAATTATCACGTCTGCTGCCCCGGACGCCACTCTCTGCTCACAAGAGCGATCGTTGCGCAGATTCCGAGCCGTCGGGTGAGAGCGAAGTCTTCAGGACTCGTTTGATCTCAATACCGCCCCTCGAAAATGACGAGCGCGCGCGAGACGCTCTCTCCTGCGCGCTGCGAAGCGTCGTTATGGTTCTTCGCGTTATGGTGTTCTCGTTCGACGACGACGTGTCGGGTGCTCGCGAGCACGCTCGCGTGTCGCAACATCCCCGGCAAAGGCGCGCAAGAGTGCACTTGAAGATGCAATCTCGGACATTAACACATTCCGCGCGGGATACTCTCCGCGCACCCTCTTTCGTCGCGCCGCTTTGGAAGCAACGCTTTGGCTCCGATTAAATTCCACTCGCATTCCTGCTCATCAGCGAGCGCGAGCGCTCCTCCTCAGCGAGAAAAGGCGAACAGAGAGAGAGAGAGAGAGAGAGAGAGAGAGAGAGAGAGAGAGAGAGAGAGAGAGAGAGAGAGAGAGAGAGAGAGAGAGATAGAGAGAGAGAGAGAGAGAGATAGAGAGAGAGAGAGAGAGAGAGAAAGGACGACAATCACCGGCTGCTCTGCCGCTGACTGCACGTCCCCTCACAATTCTGGGTGTATCCGCGCCACGTTGATTACCCTCTAATCAGCGCGATTAACATACACTCTCCCCCGGTGGTGTGTCGTGATTCTTCCTCCTTTCACATGCAATTTATTCAGCAGAAGCGCATTAGCCCGACTCGTAATATTTCCGATTAATCGCTTCCGTCTCACCCTCCTCTTCACTCGGCCGAGGGGGGCTCCCGCCTTCCTTGATCGAGACGAGACAATTATGCTTTAACCGCGATATTAATATACAATCGAGAGACTCTAAGGGTGACTTCCTCCTCTCCTCTCCTCTCTCTCTCTCTCTCTCTCTCTCTCTCTCTCGCTCTCCGCGGAGCGATCGAAACGGGAACCGGGTTTTGTCTTCGCGGCAGTGGCGGCGGTCGCCGCTGATTGCGAGTCGAAGATTGCGAGCCGCCGTGAAAATGACGACGTCTGGCGCGGATTGATATTGACGCGATCCATTCGTCTGATTGCAGGAGAACGAGGCGGTGGTGCCAGAGGGCTGGCCTCTGACGTTGGCCGGCAGCGGCCTCGTCCTGCAGCTCGGCGAGCTCGAGGCCTCCGCGCTCCGTCTCGGGGAATGTTACCTGTGCGTACGCAGCGCGGCTGCAACTGCGACTGCAACCACCTCGTCGGTCACGGCCGCTGCTGAAGCCGCCGAGCGGAATACCGTTGAGGTGAGTCGTCACGTTCTTTTCCTTCTTTTTCTTTTTTTTTCTTTTTTTTTTTTTTTTTGCCTTTATTTTTATCCTCTCTGTCTCTTTCTCTCACGCACACACACGCGCGCGCGCGCGCGCAGCCTCTTTCTCTCCTTCTCGTCGTGATGGAACCGCGCGTCGCGCGGTGACGTCCTCGGTGGGTGCCGCCGCGGCAGGACGACACTTCGGCCGGGATTCTCGGCGTTCCTTTCGCGTGATCGCACGACGAGTCCCCGGCATAAATATTAACAGTCACCGCGCACTCTCCCTCTCGCACGCGCGCGCGCGGATATGAGCGCGTAATGGGACGCGCATTATTAGACGCGCGCGCTTAAGCACCGGACTTATTGGATAATAAAAGGCGTATCTTCGAGAGAAGGGAGCGCATTGTCGCGCTCGTGACGCTCCTCCCCGCGTTCCCGGAAGCGGGCAATTCGATTTACCGCGACGATGAGTTACAGCGGTCGGCTTAACTTACCTTCCAACGTGCGCCGATACGTGATGAAAGGCGCTGCTGCACGGATGTCGCGCGATTTTCTCTAGACTTTGATGACTTTTCGACTTTGACAAAATTCCGATCGGGGCAAGCTGTTTTCTCTTCTTCACACGTGTATTCCTCAAATATACGTTGCACCGAATATCGCTCGGCCTTTCGACCGAGGTCCAGATTAAAATGATCACGAGAACAGAATTTTCGATTAAAAACTCTGTCGAAAAGAGTAATAAAGATTTTGTCAGAGTTTGGTTGGCGGAAGGACATCTCCCCCGCGCGAGTAAAACTGTTCGTGCCTCGTGATTCCCTCGAAGAATGAGCGAGTCAGCGACAGAATCGATCGTTGGAGCAGGCGGGTCTATCCGAACACCCTATATATAGAGATACTCGGAAAGCAACAGATGCGGACCGAGTGCTCTTTCGGCAGGGTGAGATGAAAGGAATTACGGCGCTGTTCGCAGATAGCAGTGGTCTGGCGAGCGACGTCGATGAGGGCGCCGGGGATTTTGGGTTGGGACCGCGAGGACGAGTTCATGGACTGGCGGGACCTGACGAGCAAGGGTCAGTCGAGCTCGTCGGGTGCGACGAGCAGCAGCCTCGGCGGCGGCGGCGGCTCTCAGTCGTCGGCGGGCGCGATGAAGACGAGCCGGCCGCGCCGGAGGTCGCGCGAAGAGGCGCGTCCTCGAACGCGCGAGAGCAGCCGGACCAACGCCGAGCATCGGCGCGAAGAAACCAGGTCGATCGACAGGCTGGAGCAGCAGTCGTCGCGCGAGGACCGCGCGATGGACCGCGAGGCCGGCCGTCAGCATACCGCCACGGTGATGAAGTCGCGCTCCGCGTCCAGCGTGGACGCCTGGAAGGAGGAGCTCGGCGGCGACGGCGAGCTCGAGCGAGGCTCGGCCCGCAGGGCGCACCATCACTATCCCAGGAACTGCTCTAGTCCGAGCGGCGACGAGAGCCGCGCCAAGGTGAAGCGGTGCGCCAAGGTCGTCTCCACAATCACCATGGAGAAGTGGAAGGAGAGCAGCAGGTGCGAAACGCGCAGCAGGTCGGTCGCACCGGACGACCTGAAGAGCCCGACGTTGTTCGAGGAGAGCCTGCTGCGGCAGGATAACGCTGCCACGAGCGACGACTCCGGCGCGAAGGACCTCGATGACAGAGTGCGCCACGCGGGCGGCCCGGACGACATCAGCGACGAGGACCTGCCGGCGTACATAGGCAATCTGCTCGTCACCGTCGAGAGAAAGATCGAGAGGGTCTCGCTCGACGACATGACGTTCCCCTGCCCAGCCTGCAGGAACATCGACACGGACGACCCGCTATTGGGCTGCAGATGCGCCGGCGACGACTGCGGCTGCGGCGCCGGCGAGGATAACTGCGACTGCGCCTCCTCCGTCACGGCCTCGCGGAAGGAGCAGTCCGCCAAGAGCTTCGAGGTCGCCGGGATTAAACATATCGACAGCGACGACGAGGAGGAGGTGCGGATGGGATTCGGTGAGTGTGTGATCCTTGCTCTTTCTGCATGTGTTACTTTCTCTCTTTTTTTTTTCTTTTTTTTTTCTTTTTTGTCACGCAGGGGAAATCCTCATGGATACCCCCGCCCTTTTGGGGAGGGCGGGGGTTGCGTCGGACTTCTACCGACTAAAACCCCTGCGGGGTGCCGACCGCTCGGACCGTGGTGGGGGGGAGTCAGGGGAACTACGCCTGCATTCCCTCCCCGACACACCCCGGCTCTGCATGTGTTACTTGCAACGTCGCGTAGACTAAAGACTCTCTCTCAACTCTCGCCGGTTTCAGAAATTTTCCGCCTCGAGAGAGAGTTTGAATACGAAACCTTCCGAAACAAAGAGTGCTTCCCTTTTGAATTCGCGCGAGAATTTACACGCGACTCGACCCGCCGCTACGTACGCGTCCTCCGAGGTAGAGGAGAAGCTCGGGAAGGGGGGGAGGGCGAGCTCTCTCCCGTCGATTGTGTCGCGGAACGGTCCTCGCGTGGTGTGTCTCTCTTGCGTTTCTCTACAGATCATTGATTTCGCAAGTATCTGTGCCACACTTTGTAGTCGGAAGTGACGTCGGAATCCGGCCGGAGTCACGAGCGTCTCGCGCCGCGAGACCCTCGGCGAGATCTCGCGTCGTCGCGCTCGTCTCTCGGCGCTGTAAATTTTCAAGTCATGTGTCACAATCCCGCTTTAATCCGTCGCCCCGGGGGCATCGTTAACGAGCGATGACTCGCGTCGGCGACGCGGGCGTAATTGTAACGGACGAGTATGCAAATTGTCGGCGCGTTCGCTTGTCACTCGATCTTTCGCCGCGGAACTCGCCAAACGAATCACTCGTGGATACGGGCCGCGCCGCGCCGGGCCAGACCAAACCGGACTTTAAAGTCTCTCTCTCTCTCTCTCTCTCTCTCTCTCTCTCTCTCTCTCTCTCTCTCTCTCTCTCTCTCTCTCAGTCTCTCAGTCTCTCGCGATTCCCGGCGGCCGATCTCTTTTCGCGTCCTCCCACGCTCGTCTCGGCGCGCCTCTTTGGTAACCGCCGCCGCCGCCGCCGACAGGTTTGCAAAGTCAAGAGCCTTTCTTCGAGACGTCGCCACGTCGGCAGCGGCGTCGACGTCAGAGTGACTTACGGCACTCGTCGCTCCCCGCCGTTGCGTGACGTTCTTTTTTTTACGCGGCACCGCGTCATTTGCGTCGGCCCACATTGGCGAATTTCCGCTCGCGTTCGGCACGATTACGTTGTCGTCGTCGTCGTCGTCGTCGTCGTGGGAGCGACGACTCGTTCGATCGTCGTAATGACGCATTTTTTCTTCTTTTTTCTTACCCCGCGACTTTCCGCGTTCCGCGGGCCCGGCCGCGGGTGGCTGCGAACGCGGCACGAACACGCGGCGGCGTTTCCCTACGACGACGACGACGGTGTTTGAGTGTTTGCGGAGCGAGAGGCGAGCGACCTGCTCCGCCGACAGTGAATGAACGGAGTAACGAACTCGTCAATGAGTATTCGTGCTAATGAGATACGCCGACGAACGCGCGCAAGCAAACGATCTTTCCGCAGCGCTCACGGCAGAAAAACAGCCCCGGACAAGGAGCGCTCGCTCGCGCTCGCCTCAAATCGAATTATCTGAATACACGCAATGGCAGTTATGCTTCTCGGCTCTTGCAGCTGATTAATTTCTTATGACTGTGATTTCTCGCGACGTAACGAAGCAGGGAACGTTACAAGCTGGACTGAGACTCTAGCATAGTCTATTCGAGGACGGAGGCGAGCTCTTGAGTTACGCGAAATGAAAACGACAGAAACGAAGCGGTGTGAAAAGTAGTGAATTTCTCATTCGTGTAAATCGAGGGAAAAAATCGACGAGAGAGAGAGAGAGAGAGAGAGAGAGAGAGAGAGAGAGAGAGAGAGAAAATCGCGGCTTGCAACATTCGCGATGGTCACATCGTCGAACGTAGCAAACATCCCGCGCGGCGCTCGAAAGAAAAAGATTCCTCCGTTGAGCGACAAGTCGAGGTGGCTATCGGTAACGCGCGCGCCATATCTACGTCATCGATGATTCAATCCGCACTGCTATCCGTATTTTGGCATCCGGCGGCTGGTCAAGTGCGGAGAACCGGTCGTTACTCCCGCCGGGACGTCGTCGTGCTGTAAGCGGCGTAGCACGCTATGCGATCGGACACGACTTTGCGCCGGTTGTCGTGTTTCATTAGCACGTGGACGTCTCATTGACGGCGGCTCGCCCGTCGTCGTCGTCGTCGTCGTCGTCGTCGTCAGCGGCGACCCACTCGTTTCCCGCGCGGCCGGCGTGAGAGACATAATCCGCTCGCCGTGACGCAAACGCCAGCGTCCACTCGCGAGGGTGAAATCGTGACGGGGGATTACCGCGCCGGCAATGAGTTGCGTTGCGGCCGCACGAAATGCGGAAAAATATCGGTCGAGTTACCGCGGCGATGAGCAAAGCGAACGCGTTTCGGTGGAGGCAGACGCAAAGTTTCGGAAATTCCGACGAGCCAGATTCGATTCTAAGAGGCCAAATTCCCTTCACCGATCCGTTGGATCTAAAAGCACACTGATAGAAAAATATAGTTGAGTTTATCTCATAATCTCACTATATTTTATAGTTCATTTTGGCGTCAACCATATTTTTTTTATAGTTCGTGGAAACCTGCAAAATATAGTAGAATAAACACAAATATATAGTCAATGATTGTCTTAAATAATTTAGTTAAAGTTTAGTTACTTTTACCACATATGTGGTAATTTCTCATTCACGAATATAGCGAGATTTAATATTCATATAGTTACATCTGTCATCATTTAGCAAATATTCTGGTAATATTGACCATATGAAAGAGTTACTTTTACCAACTACTTTATATTTGTATCCATACAATAATTTTAGCTTTTAACTTACTATAATTCTCAGTAAAAATATTATACGGTTGGTTATACTATGCCTATATATCGTAATTATTATACCGATATTATGGTAATACTCGCTGTAAATATCATATTTCGGACTATAATTTAGTTACTATATCATTATAGCTCCAAATATCATATACTTTTCTCTCAGTGTACAGAGCGTTGGATTTCTCGGGTGGGATTTTTCGGCTTTTGCGACAGCGAATGAACGTTCTCTCGATCAGGAAGTTCGCGCGAATGGGAAAGTTGCGCGCGTCCTTAGCGCGCGTTCCGCGGATTAGCCTCGTTCGCGGGCTTTTCGTCGTGCGATCGAGCGCGTGCGGTTGGCCTTGCCTCGTCCTCGCTCGAGACCGAGTGAGACTCGCGGAAATTCCTCGAGAGAGTCGGCGGCGGCGGCGGCCTGCCGGCTCCGGCAAGAACCGATCTCGTATCGCCCGGTATCGCCGCTTAATTCCCAGACGGTCGCGGCAGCACACGAGGAGGAAGAATGCGACGAGCTATGTCGGCGCGGCCGCGACCGACCGGGGGAAATCATCAGCCCGGACTTTAACAGCGGCAATAACCGCAGCGCATACCTCTTGCAGCAAGCCGGAGGAGGCGCGGAGGAGGAGAGGCCTCCTCACGTGAGGCGGCTCCTCGCGCGGCTTTTTCAGCCTCGCCACGCCTCAGGTCCTTTCTCGCTCACGGTTTCCTCGCAGCTCTGAGATTTAGTGTTTCGAGCGGCGGCACCCCCGTGCGACAAATTGGAAAAAAAATAAAACACCACGCCAGCGCGCTTTTTCCTTTTTTTCACCGAAACCCCAAATTTCCTGAAACGCTTTCTTCTACTCTTTTCCCCTTTCTCTCTCTCTCTTCCTTTTTTTTCATCAGAACGCAACTCTGTCCGAGCTTTCGAGGGGAAACCGAGTGACAAATGATACCCCTTCCTTTATCCGCGATTATCACGGCTGTCCGCCGGCCGAAGAGAAACCGCCGTCGCGCGGCGTCGCGCGCTTAATTCGTCCGCTTTATTGTTTCCCGTCGCCGCGCCGCGCAGCCAATTTTATCGCCCGGTGTCGCCGGTGGCACGTGAAAGCTAGTAAATTTTACGGGCTCCGCTTTACCGAGACGCACTTATCGAACGGCACACGGCGGCGATTCCCACGCTTCTTTTCCTCGCGAAGAATGCCGCAGCCGCCGGACGGATTGAAAGCCTCTCTATCGCGCGTCGTCCAGCGCTCGCAGGTAAAAGTGCGTGCTCCTCTCTCCTGCCCTTCCCTCTCGCAGAGACCCGAACGGTCGTGAGACACACACACACACACACACACACGTCCTTCCGTAATTTCGCGATATCCTTTCTCTCGCGCGCGGCAGCGCCGATGCGATTCGCGATATTTCCCGAGTCTCGAGTCGCCCGAACCGAGCGCGCATCTTCCTCCTCGGATTTGTCGATCTTGCCCGTCTCGTAGCCGATGAGACCGGCCGCTACGTCGGCGTGATTTTTCCCTCTCGCGGCTCCGAGAGAACGAACGAACGAACGCTCGTCGAAGCGTGACGCATCGCCGCGGGCACCGAGCATCGCCACCGTGCACGTCCGCGAGATTCGCGGGCGAATCGAAGCGTTTCGAGGCACGGGCGTACGCGCGCGCGCGAGAGGGAGAGAGAGCGGGGGAGGAGGGGGAGGGAGAGAGAGAGAGAGAGAGAGAGAAAGAGAACCGCGTATCCCGCACTGTGCGCGGCTTGATTGAACGTTTGCCTCATGGGCCGGCTATACTTAGTAGCTCATTGATCGTCCCCACGGCGGCCCTCAATCATATCTACTTAAGCGAGAATCAAGCGGCTTCCACAATGGGAGGCTGTTCACCTCTCCGCGCGCTCTCGCGAGCGAGCGGTGTATATCGAGTGTGGGACGAGAAAGCGCGGGGTGGGGGTGGGGAGGATCATCGCGTTCGGTCAATCTCATTTCGCGAGATTACACTCATCGCCTTGAATTTCACGGCGGTGCCTGTTCGCGCGAGTCAACGGGAAAATTGCCGGCCGCTCGTGCCAGCGGGGTGGGCGGCGGGCGGCGAGGGGGGGGGGCGGCGACGTTTCTA